TATATATATATATATATATATATATTATATGTATGTATATATATAGTATATGTATGTATACATACATGCATAGTATATGTATGTATGTATGTATGTAGTATATGTATGGGTGTAATATAGGTATTTGTAGTTATTGTGGTTAAAGAGTAGTCAATGGAAAGACAAACAAATAAAAAACAAAAAAAGTTTCTATATTCTATAAAAAAATAGTTTAAACACTCCTAATCATAACTAAAGAATAATGTTTTGATTTATTTTGTTCATTGATTAATTCTCTTTCATATATATATATATATATATATATATATATATATATATATATATATATATATATATATATATATATATATATATATATATATATATATATATATATATATATATATATATATATATATATACAGTGGGGTGTAAAAAAAAAGCCACACTCAATTTTTTTATAAAAACAACAACAACAAATGTCCTAAACTCATATAATGTTACTTCTATTACAGCCAATATTGATAAAAATGTTTAATATATAATTGTATATTACATATAATAAAAAGAAATTATGATTTGTAAAGTATTTTTTAGGTTAAAGCTGTTTTAGTATTTAATTGGCCATCCTTTATTTCTTATGACTTCCGCACATCTAGAAGGCATACTATCTACAAGTCTTTTTAATAAGGCATTTGGCAATGCATTCCAACCATCAAGAAGAATTTGGAACAGATCATCTTTATTTGTTGCCCTACGATTTTGCAATTTTTTATCCAAAATAGACCAAAGGTTTTCTATTGGATTTAAATCAGGAGACTGTGCTGGCCAAGACATAATTGAAATCAATTTAGATTCTAGATATCTTTTATTCAACCGTGCTGTATGTTTGGGACCATTATCCTGTTGAAAGATATAGTTACCATTAGGAAAAAGTTCTTTTATACTTGTTCCAAGCTGGTTAACTAAGATTTTGTGATACAAATGCTGGTCCATAATGCCCTTCACCCGGTAAAGTTTTCCAACTTTGTGTGCACTAAAACAAACCCAGACATTAATCTTTTTGTCATGTTTAATAGTTGCCTTGCACGTTTGAGGATTAACTTTTTTCCCTATTAATTTTTAACAGTGAGATCGACCCAGTGGCGTACCTACGATGGGGAGGGGGGAGGGCGGGCGGGAGCTCACCGCCCCGGGTGTCATCCACTTTTGGGTGACACCCAATTTATTAATATCTTATATTTTATTTTGGTTTATAATTAAACAGTCTTACATAAAAAAATAAGTGGGTATTTATTTACACGACCTACGAAATGCTGAATGCTAAAAGATAGAGTTATCATTATTTAGAAAATATAATCGCTTAGCTTTCTTCTTAAAATATAAACAAAATAAAATAAAGACTTGTCGTCTAAAAAAATTCTTCATAATTAAAACATACTCAAATTTTGTTTGGGTTTGGATAACTTTGTGTGGGTGCGATTTTAACCGTTTTTCACTTTATCAGCTTTATTAGTCTTATTCGTATATTTTTTCAATGTTAGTACTGTATCACATTGCAGAATATCAAAACCATCTAATTCGAACTAAAACATTCGAAAACATATTCTTTGTTTATGATAACAATTTTAAAAATTTGCCATATTACATATTACTGAAAATTTTATAAAATTTGTGCATAAATTATAGTGACTTTGTAATAGATACATTTTGAAAGAATATCGTATATTATTAATTGTTTTAATTTTTCGTTTTTAGTGCTTAATAAATACCATTTAATTTAAAAAGTTTTTAGTGCTTAAATTGTAAGTTTTAAAATTTTGTTTTAATATTTAGTTTAAAGTTTTAAATATTTTGTATAACAATGCCGCGTAAGGTGCATAAAATGAAGAGGTTAAGTAGACATCAACAAAGAAAATTATAGGAAGCTAAACTTAAATCCCTTGAAAAATATGCAGGGTCAATACTTCAATACATAGATAACCCAAATGACGGCCAATGTTCTTCAAAAGATAGTACTTTGATACAAACTCCATTAGTAGTAGAAGAAAGTGAAAATGAAGCTTCTAATAATAGCACCTTCGCTGTTGACATGGAAAAAAACGACCAAGAAAATGAAGCTGAATCTCCACAAGTATTAGAAATCACCGATTTAAAGAAACATGATGGAAAAACTAACTTTAAAATCTTTTCTGACGTCTCTTTTTGGAAATTACCGCTTCAAGACCATCTTCGAATTGAGATTATTAAAAAGGGAAGTTCTACATTTCAAAACAAAGATGGACCATTTAATGTAGTACAACGAAATGTCACTCAAATGAAAGGCAATGATCGTCACCTTTCCTATGAATGGTTTTATAAACAAATAAAAAATGGTGAAAAAATTTTACGTTCATGGATGGTATATTCACCCAACAGTGGAAATTTATACTGTTTTTGTTGTCGATTATTTGCCAGTAATATTACCAATTTGACATCAAAATTCGTCACTGGATTTCAAAAATGGTGGAAATTAAATCCAAAAGTATATGAGCATGAATCATCTGACAATCATTTGCGATTTTTGGAAAATTGGAAGATTCTGGAAACAAATTTAAAATCTAATAATACAATCGATGCCGAAATTATTTCTTTTACAGAAAATGAAAAGAAAAAATGGTGAAATATATTGTATAGGTTCTTAGATGTAACTTTGTTTCTTGCTAAGCAAAATTTGCCATTTCGTAAACATCAGGAGGATGAATCGTCTTTGAATAAAGATAATTTTTTAGAATTAGTGGATTTGCTTTCAACGTATGACCCTATATTAAAGGAGCATTTAATTAAATTAAGGGAAAGTTATTCCAAGGTTTCGTATCTTTCCCCAAAAATTCAAAATGAATTTATCAGTTGTCTGGCAAGTCACGTAAAAGACAAACTTATTGAAGAAATAAAATCCGCGCGATATTTTGGCATGATGTTTGATAGCACTCCTGATATATCTCACGTGGATCAAATGTCTGAGGTGATCAGATATATTAAAATTGAAAATAAAAAGGTAGAAATAAAAGAGGCTTTTTTAGGATTTTTTCCATTAAAAGGAAAAAAAGCTCTGGACTTAAGTACTGAAATACTTAAACAATTAGAATCTAATGGGTTAGATATAATGATGTGCCGCTCCCAGGGATATGATAATCCTGCTACAATGGCTGGAATCCACGGAGGTGTACAGAGAATTATTTCTGATAAAAATAATAAGGCAATTTTTAATGAATGTATTGATCATTCCCTAAATTTATGTGGTCAGCATTCTTTTGCAGTAAATGCATCTTGCGTCACATTTTTCGGAACAATTGATATTCATTTTTTGCTGCTTCTACGCATAGGTGGGAAGTGTTAATAAAGCATACCAATATATCAGTGAAAAGACTGTCGACCACGCGTTGGAGTGCACATTATAACGCCGTAAAACCTTTTCAAGAGAATTTTGAAAAATTTATAGAAGCAATTGAAGCTCTTTGCAGTACCAATGAAAATTTAGATACAAGAGGAGCAGCTGAATCTCTTTTGCCGGCAGTGTGTCAATATACATTTTTATGCTTTTTGTATTTTTGCCACGATATACTGGAAGAAGTAAATAATACTCAAATTTATCTACAGACAAAAGGTCTATTTCTTGATAAAGTTATAATAAAAATAGAAGCTCTTAATCTTTTTTTAAACGAAGAAAGGCAAAATGTAGTTGACAAGGCACTAAATAAATCACTTTGTGTATCAAAAGAACACGATATTCCAATTGAGAGAAGAATAAGATAGAGAAAGAAGATGGCGGGAGAATTGGTATGTGATACTAAACTCACAATAGAAGAAGAAAATAAAAGAACTATGTATGAATGTATTGATCGTCTAAATGTTGAACTTCAAGCAAGATAAAAACCATTAAAAAATATTTTAGATATGTTTGAATGTGTCCAAGCTAAATTTTTAGTTTCTGAACATAATAATGAAGAAGACTTGACGTTATCTATTAAAAAATTAACTTCATTTTATGATGAAATATCCCATAATGAACTAATTTTGGAAATTCCACGACTCAAGCGACATCTTAAAGCAGCAGGAATTAATTTAGAAGTAGTTAAAAATTGGACAGCTTTAGATATTTTGACTTTCATCACAGAATGGGACTTCACAGAAACGCTTCCAATGTTTTCTTTCACCCTAAGATTATTCTTAACTATTTGCGTGTCCGTTGCATCATGGGAAAGGAGCTTTTCAAAATTAAAACTGGTAAAAAATTATTTACGATCAACTATGGGCCAATCAAGACTTTCTGATCTTGCAATATTATATATAGAGAGTGAGTTTGTCAAAAGCATTGGCTTTGATAACGTAATTGATAAATTTGCAAGTTTAAAAGTAAGAAAAGGAACATTTTAAAGGTTAAGTGTTATAAAAATTTAGGATAATAATTATATAGTGATTAAAAAATTTAGTTTAGTGATAAAAGCATTTAGTTGAGTGATTGAAAAATTAATTTAGTGATTGAAAAATTTAGTTTAATGATTGAAAAACTTAGTTTTGTGATAAAAAATTAGTGTAGTGGTTGCATAGTGAATAAAAACTATACAAAGTTCAAACTTTTGTGCATATTATTTTAAAAAATATATTTAGTTCATATAGATAGTAAATAATTAAGTACGTTAATATGTTGTTATACATAAACACATCAGTGGCATAGATTCATTTATAGGACAGATCAGCGTATTTAACAAAGGGTAAGTGAACGTTTAACTTATTTTTCACAGATAAGAAGTTAATAAATCAGCAGGTTTGCTATTTTATTATTATACTTTACTATCAAATCAAATCCAGGTACTACTGTTTTTTTAAGCATATAAAAAAATAAAGCTGATTTTAGACGATTTTAGATGATAATAATTTATTATCGTCTAAAACAGAGATAATAATTATTTGGCAACAATTTATTTTCAAATAATTATTTTCTCTGTTATAGACGAGAATTATTTATAGAGAGTTATAGACACTAAATTATTATTGTCGAAAACAAGGTTTAAAATTACATGTGTCAACGTTTCTAAATACTGCTTTAATAATTTCGTATATAAAAATAATTACATATAATATATGGGTGACACCCTATTTGCCGCCCCGGGTGACACCATAACTAGGAACGCCACTGGATCGACCATTATAATACAAAACAAATGGAGACTCGCCGCAGTCTCCATTTGTTAACGTTAGCCCATTGTTCACATGTCTAATCTTAGTGCTCAATGCACACTTTACACGCTTTTTTCGATTGATTTCACTAACAAAAGGTTTTTTAATTTGCTTTCCAGAAAAAAATCACTTGATGCTTTAATCCTGCGAGATATTGTCCACTTTGAGATATTAGTAAGGTTCAAATCTAGTTTTATCTCAGAACGAGTGATTTTACGATTTTTTTTGACAGCATTAAGAATGTAGCGATCTTCCATTTTTGAAGTTTTCGGTTTTCTCCCAGATCCAACAGCCCTTTCAGTTTTACCAGTGTGTTTGTATTTCTTTACCAATCTACTAATAGTTGCGTTTTCTCGTTTAAAACGCTTTCCAATGCTTCTGTGAGACTCTCCTTGGTCAGCAGCTTCAATAATTCGTCCAATTTCTACATCTGTAAGATGTTTTCTAAAATATTAAATGCGTCCATAATAATCTGTTTTTTAAAGATTTTATTTACATAAATATTAGTTTATATATAAACATACCTTTTCTGCCCTATATTTTTCATTGTCACTTCAAATTTTTTTTGTTTTGCATTATTATACATTTTATGCCTAAAATATAAAAAAAAAAGTGTGGCTTTTTTTTTGCACCCCAATATATATATATATATATATATATATATATATATATATATATATATATATATATTATATATATATATATATATATATATATATATATATATAATAATAATATAATAAAAGAAATTAAATAAAATAATATTTACAAATAAATACACTAAAAATAAAAGAATTAAGCAACTTATCTGAGATTAGTCGAATATCCACGAGGAAATAATCCACGAAACTTTGCTTTATAATCTTTATTGATATAGTAATAAAATTATAATACAAACAACTTAAATAGAATAATATTGACAAATAGATGCACTAGATAAAATCGGATTAATCAACTTATCTGAAATTAGTCAAATATCCAAGAGAAATTAATCCGCGAAACTTTGTTATTTATTCTATAAAATGTGTCTCGTTTGTTTTGTTTGTTTTCTTAAAATGCATCGGGGACGTAACGATCAGAGTTTGCGTCACCGCTTGAAAATGTAAACAAGAATTTATGCAAAAAAAACTAAAAAAAATGTCGCTAAACATGCCAAGTTTGAAAACATATTTGATAACATAGCTAGAGGTACAGAAAATAATTTTTTGATTTTCTTATTCATATAAGGTTGAAGTATTACTAAATCCACAGACTTTTCAAAAATGTTATGTTTTTTATTCAAAACGAATAAAAACAAAAATATAAATGCATTAAAAACTAACTTTCTATATAAAAACTTGCAAAGCCTGTGGAAATCTAGATAGAACAGACATTCATTAATAACTGTTCTAAATTTCAACCATCGACCATGTAGCTATGTTATCAAATCTTAGTTGGCCTAAGACAGGTATATACTGTATTGTATTACATAGTATACTTGGACTATGCTTGGACATATACTATTATTTTTACTATGCTTGGACATATATTATTATTTTTATTATTTTACTATATTTTACTATATTTTATTATTTTACTATATTTTTATTGTTTTACTTATATTTTTATTATATTACTTTTATTATTTTAATATTTTATTATACTATGCTTGGACATATATTATTATTTTTATTATTTTATTATTTTTCAGAGTTTGATTTGTATGCATTGCATACAATTGTTGTAATCGTGTTGTAATATAATATGCACACAAATTTATTGTATACAAATTGCATATAATATATAGTTAAATGATTATGATATAATATAAAAACTATATTATATAGTTTATATTACCCATATTATAAAAATATAAATTAAATGCAAACAAATTACATAATATATAAACTATGTAACATAATAAATTTACATTTAAATTATATATAAATATTTTATCTTACATACTTTATAAGTAACTTGTGAACCTTTTAGCCTTTTATCATGCATTATAATCATTCACATATAATTATAATTATATATACATATATATATATATATATATATATATATATATATATATATATATATATATATATATATATATATATATATATATATATATAGGGTGTTAACCAGCCTGATGGCACCGCGTATAACGCGGTATTCCCAATTGGTTTCAAATTCCTAAAGGTTCATAAGATCATAGTAAAAAAAAAAAAAAAAATCAGTAAATAACCATAGTAAAAAAAGATCATAGTAAAAAAAAAAAATTAAATCGGTCTCAAATTTTAAGTGTCGCGCTAGACAAGTAAAAAACGCAATTAAAAGCATGAATTAAATTGATTGATTTTTTTAATGTGTAAAAACGTGTCGTCATTAACAAGCGTCCATACATTTATTTTTATTTATTTTTATTGACGTCAGTTAATCCTGAGTTGAGATTTTTTAAAGTTTAATAAATTATTTTATTAATTTATTTTTATTATTCAAAAACTCTTTATATATGTTTTTGCTGTTTATCTTAAGTTAGTAAAGTTACAAAGAAATTTGTATAATAATAAATATTATACTTTAAAATAAGTTAATAACGTTTTTGTAATAAAAGATTTATTAATACTCTCAGTAAAATAAATTAGCAGGTAAAGTAAATTGAAAATAACAACAAAAATAATAAAAAATAAAAAATACAATGAAACGTAATATCTATGTTATATTTACGTAAAACGTAAAAAAAGATAATCAAATAATATTATAATATTATTAGTTATTAACCAATATTTATAAACACAAAATTCTTTTTTTAATTTACAAATACAAACTTTATGTAGATATTTAATGAATGTAATGTAAATTGAAAAAATAATAATAATAATTTTGTATTTAAATACATTTTTTTTTATTTAAATACCTAATTTACTAGATATTTAAAATACGCCAATTGAATTTAGCTGCCCTCGTGAGGTGAAAGAATCTCGCTTTGCCCTCTATATATATAGCCCTATAATTTTATAATATTTGAATTTGACACTGCGCTTGCGTATAATAACTTTCAACATCTAAACGACCGTGTTATGTTTATTTATTTATTATTATTTTTTTTTTAGATTTTAAGTTTATATTTGTCGTAATACAATACTTTAACAAATACAAACAAGGTTTCTGAAAGAAGATCGTACTGATCTTATCATCAGAACCTTTTACAAGCATTTAGCATAATTATTTACAATGTATATAATCTATATATAAAATAAACAGAAAAGTAAAAAAAAAAAGAGTCGTTACATAAAACGTATTTTACAATTAACATAATACGTATTTTGCAATTAAAAAAGTTCTAAATAAAGGTACATAATTACAATTAGAAGAACCTTATTATGTCATCGGAAAATAAAATTAAATTTTTGAGTTTATGTTTGAAAATTGGAAAAGTGTAAAATATATCAAAATTTGGCAAAACAACTTTATTCAAAAGATATGGCGCACGATAAGCAATACCATACTAGTTAAACTTTGTTCGACAAAAAGGTTTATGCAAAAAAAAATTTTTTCTAAGAGTGTATTTATTTATTGGTTTTTTACAAAAGACAACTTTAAAGGTAGGTAGGGATAAGTCATTTTTCCACAAATACATAAAGCATAAAACATTAAACACATTAAGCTCGTAAATATTAAGAATTTTCATTTCAATAAAAAAAGGTTTGGAATGAGTGTATGGATCCGTAAAATTAATTAAACGGATCGCATGCTTCTGACGGCAGTAAAGACATTGTATACAATGTCTTTACTGCCGTCAGAAGCAAATATTCCTTGGGGAAGCACAGAAAAAAGTAAGTTACATGTAACTTACTTTTTTCTGTGCTTCCCCAAGCAATATTTGCATAATTTAAATAGGTATGAATAAATGAGTAGTATAGTTGGGTTAAATCTTTTTTACATTAGATATGTTCTGCATTTATATAAAATTCCAATGCTTTTAGAAAATTTTGTGCTAATATAGTCAATATGCGCTTTCCATGTGATGTTTTCATCAAGAAAAACACCCAAAAACTTTGTGACATAGTGTCTTTTTATCACAGTATTATCAATAAAGATTTCTGGTAAATTTTGGGGTAAATAAGGTTTTTTTGCGATTGGATGGAAGAGAATCTATTTTGTTTGTTACTGTTAAGAGTTAGCTTATTGCATTTAAACCATTTTGATATGTTTTTAAGTTCATCGTTCATACTAGAAAAGAGTTTGTAAATATCATTATTGGAAAGAAATAAGTTGGTGTCATCAGCAAACATTATACTCATTAAATTTGAGGCTTTTATTAGGTCATTTATATAAATCAAGAACAACAGTGGTCCCAAAATGGAACCTTGGAGAACGCCACATGAAACGTTTAGGAACTCATTTGGATAACAACTATTACTAAAAACAAATTGTTTACGGTTAGATAAATAACTTCGGAACCATTTTATAACTTTGTAATTTATTCCATAGTATTTCAGCTTTTGTATCAAAATTTAATGATCTAAAGTATCGAACGCCTTCGATAGGTCGATAAAAACATCTAATAAAAATTTAGATTTTTCAAAAGAATTTGAAATTTCACGTACAAGTTGGATAATTGCATGTTCCGTCGAATTATTATTTTTTAAACCAAACTGGTTGGCGTATAACAAATTATTAGAAAGGAGATAATTGTATAATTTATTATACATAATACGTTCTAGTATTTTTGAGAATGTGCAGAGAATGGAGATAGGATGATAGTTACTGATATTTGTTTGATCTCCCTCTTTTAAAATTGGGGTAATTTTAGCAATTTTTAATTGATCCGGAAAAACTCCTTGGTGGATAGATGCTCCATAAACCTTAAAAAGTATATCTTTTAATTGTTCAAAACATTCTATAACTATATTACCGTTTATGTCATCTGCTCCGCTTGCTTATTTAATTAACTCTACTCTAAACATTAATGACAAAAACGGTACTGTTATAATTTTTCTTATTAAGTTAATTAGAATTCCTAGAAAAAGTATTTTTGTACGTAAGCATGTTAAATTTGTTGCATATTTTAGATCTTGAAACTAATGGTTGTTTAACAGTTTTTAAATAAAAACCGTTTAATGTTATATATAATTTAAATGAGACTTTAGTTTTTGTTTGTTAGGTAAATTTAGTTAAGTTTCACAATTTTTTTTTCCTAACTCTAAATTATAAGCAGTTATAACAATTATAAACTCAAAATACAAAAACCCTACAAACTAATTAATTCAATCTAAAATATAACAATCATTAGTATTTTTTATTAATTTTGCCAAAACAGCAACTTTATCTGTAATTATTTTTTTAATGTAGCAACCAACACATATTTATCAGTACTGAAAACTAAATACATAATTTAGTTTCATATTTTTTACATTTTTAAATTTTAAAGTTTTTACATAGGGTAGATAGGGTAATATGAGCATCCTTGGTAATATTAGCATACTTAAAGATTTCTTAAATGTAAGCAGTGAAGTTAAAGTTGCTTTGTATTTTTTGAATCGACCTTATGTGGTGATAACAGAAATCAGTTCAATTAGCGTAAATTTAAATGCAGTGATTAAAACATTTAATTAAAACGCTGTTA